TTATTTTCTAATTTAACTGTTTATAGCAAAACAGCTTCGTAATTATGGTAATTAGTACTTATATTAATATAATATTCGTTACAAAGTATAATCATCTTTTCCTAGATTTTTACAGCGAGTTTATCTAGAAACGCTCAGTTCTCAAACTTCATGAAGAGTGTGTGATTAATATCAAGAACTACACTTCAAACTGTGAAGACAGTAAGAAACAAAAATATAATAAAATTATACCAAACATTACTTCCTCGAGTAGAAGATATTTTTCCTTGAAAAGCAGCAAATAAGGCAAGGAAGTGTGGGGGGGGGGGGGGGTGAAATGAGTAGGTACCCCGAATAGCGTTCGTTAGCATCTTTTAATTTCAGCTAATTTTTATCTTGAACGGGACTTGGTTTTTTACTGTGTAGCACGGGCCATTAGCTCCCGTGCCAGGGTGAAACAACCTTGATACTTGATTGCTTGTTGCTGGTAACCTATTTTTTTGTTGGACTCGCTCTTGCATAGTTACGTTTTGTTGAAAGGGCGGTTAACTACGTTAGTTTGTCGAGTTGTTTTTATTTTTTACAATTGTTTTAGGTACATATCATCTTTTGGGTGTTCATTTCAAATGCTATATTATTTCAAGCTTTAATTATTACGCTTCAGATATCAACACGATTTTTTTATTAAATAGTTATTGAAGGTTTTTTGTTAACCTAGATTTTTATTATGTATCTAGTCATCAAGTATATGGAAATGATAATAAAAATAAATTACATTCACCACTTCAACTGAGCGAGTGTGGGTAGATTTATTCTATATCAACCTTCATAAACGCTTTTTAAAAGTGTATTGAATTTTCTTTGAGTATTATCCTTGTAAATGCTCAAGTGTCAAGTTGTTGGTTCGAAGTTTACGGAACAAATCTAATTTTTGTCGCGTTTTTCTCTTATTTCGACGAGCCCGAGAGGACGCCGTTTTCCCGCCAATTTGTGTGTGTTTGTGAAAATTTAACCGTAAAATGTCTCCTTTTTTAAATGTTTCTTAAATTAGTTCGTTAACAGTCCCACTGAGGGGAGGTCAAAGTGCCTCGCTCATTGTTATGATAATGCTACATTTATTTAAATTCACGATTTTATTACCTTATTTTCGATAGAATGTTTAAGAAAATCCATTTCTTTTGAAAAAAAGAGTTCTTGTAAAATTTTATGAGGAACATTTTTAAATTATAAAAAAAAAGTTTGATCTTGAATAAATTTTGAATTTCATAAATAGTAAAGTTTTGATTAAATCATGTGCAGCCTTTATGGTTTAGTGTGACGCAAAATAGATCATAAAGTATTCAAAAGTCGTACAGCAGGTGTCCGAGAAAAAACATCGGACATTTTTTACGAGCACTAAGGAAGTTTTCTAATAATGTCGCCGCGTTTCACCGCTAATTGCAAAATAAATTTCCAAGTTTCGCGCCAAAAAACCTTCCCCCGCAATGAGTTATAACGTTAAAAAAACGAGCGTTAAGAAATGTCCACCGTTTTAGTGGTGTCGTATTCATAGAGTGGTTAATTTATTTCTTAATTGAAGTTTGCTTTCTTTTCAAATACTTCTAGCATCTGTATCGTCTGTCATTCATTTAAATAGAGTCTATGATTTTGTATCAATTTCTTTACATCATCGAATAATTAAAATATGAATCAAAATAATTTATCGTTCCCAAGACGCGGTTAAGTTTTTTAAGTCATCTTTTACAAACTTAAGAGCAATTATCGCATTAATGTTTCGAGAAAATATAAATAAAATATTGTAATAATAAAATGACAATTGTGATGAAGTTAAGGGCTAGGTGAAAAATGGCGTAAGATTATTCCGTCACAACCGCCAGTTGTTTCGTAGCGTACCTATTGTGTGTAGCTGTTTACTTATTTTTATCCGATTTTTATAATACCAATATTTTATGTAACTTTTTACATCTCATTGAAACATAAATAAATAATCTTACATGACAAATATTTATAGTTGTACACTAATACTTATTATTATTACGCTAATACTGATGACACAGATTAGAAGCAATCCACATTTGTTTTACTTTTATTACAAACTCTTAGTCGTTTTTAAGAGCCGACTATAAATTTAGCACCAAAGGGTTGAAGGAAATTATAAAAGATAGAGGAAAAATTAGAAAAATCGCGAGCGAGCCGGCGACTGAGAAGCGGGCTCTTAATTTTATATCTTTTTAAATTTATAACGCTCGCCGGGACACAGGGCTACCGAGACGATACCTATACCGAATACGGTATTTTAAAATTAGAATATTAATTTGTAAATGTTGGCAAGACATGGTGTTTGAATAGCGAACACAATTTAAAAATCGATCGTTCGAGCCATGACTAAGACAAAATACTAACGTATTTATTTTTAGTACTCAAGTAAAATTTAATAATATCAATATAATTTCATTTCGAATTGGTGGTCTGTAGATACGTGACAGATATTTATATCTGGCCTTCCAACTCTACTGTATTTAATATAAATAATAATTTCTACAGACTGTACTAGATTTATACATACGTTTGTAGTTATTTAGATCACCGTCTATTCATTTTCATTATTATCTTTTCTATGCTTAGGTTTTGCATGAAGTAATAAACGGTATAGTTTAACTATTGTGTACTTAATATGTTATATTTTCGTACAAGGCATAAAGATTCCCTATTTAAGATCTTGGAGTAAGTAGTATTAATTTTTAACGATTCCGTTAAATTAATGCTTAAGTTTCTGTCAGCCCTTACTTGGAAAAAACACGTTAAGAAAGGAAAGATTGTAAGACTATCTTTCCAAACCTATTAACATCGAAAGCCTTTTGGTCATTAAACCACTTTTTTTAAATGTCCTCACTCTGGACCATTTTTCCTTCCCCCCTAAGACACTTTTCATAATTACCGCACTGCCCCCACTGTTCCCCTCCACTTGTAACAAGATGTTACTGTCGGGACTGTCTAAAAAATACAATTTCGTTATCTCTGCCACTCTTTTGTGATACCATAAAGAAAAGCAGAAAAATACCCCATTCGTTAAAAGCATTCAACATCAATCCAAAATGTAAAAAAAAACATCTCGAATCTAAGCGCACGCTATAAAATACTCGACAACATTTACACAACTCTGTTCATCATTAAAAACATTTTTATAACAGAGAGGCCGCTGCGCCGAAGTAAGACAACACAATTGATTTACTATGGCAAAAAACAAATGAACGCATCAAAAAAGTTTGAGTCGAAAAAAGCGGCCAGTGAGACGAAACTTAAAATAAAGTTTAAAACAAAAAGTCGGAACACATGTCTCGGCCGAACGGCGGACGTCAAAATCGTCTCAATTTCGAGCGGAAAAACAATTGCGATTTGAATTTTAAATTCGGAACGCGGTCATTTCGGTCGGATTTTTTCGAAAAGCGGCAAGCCTAATAAATCTCGAAGCAATAACGATAAATTCATTGCGATCGACATGCAAATGTTGCTGAGTTTTTTTCGACAACGCGTATTGTGTACCTACATTTGTTAGGAACAAAGGAACAATAGAGTATATACTGTCAAACGAAGACTTTTAATCCCTTACATTCAATAACTTATTAGGTACAAATTTTTAAAAAGAAGTATTATTATTTCATTGAGATGTTTTACTAATATTTAGATTTTTTATTAAAATATGGCTTTATCAAATGAACACCACGAGCTGTACCTAGCTTTGTTTATTGTTTTATCATTAAACTCAAACGATTCAATATATCCAAACAGTTAAGCAAAATAATCATTATATATCAACTGAAATAAGACATCTCCATTCGTTCTATGTTCTGACGTTCACCTCAAAAGATCAAGTGCTTGATTCGAAAAAAAAAGTACAGTTTTTATTTTGCCCGCCGAATGTACTTTTCCGTTCCGTTTGGGGGTTAACTCTTGTTTTTTTTTACTATTTTCGTCGGGCACCTGTGCACTGAACTGTACTTACGTGTTTACTAGGCTTACAATGTATTTTTTCAATAAGTATTGGGCGTTTGGATTAATTTATATTCTATGTATTTGTATAAATGGTCTTTGTATTTTCTGGAATGTAATTATATTATGTATATATTAAGTTTGAAAAAAAAAATGATTTTTAGTACCTATTAGAAAGGTTGTATTTATAAATAAATAATAATTTTCAACAGCCTCTAAAGAGAGTAGTTACATACGTTAAGTCACTTATTATTTTTTCTAACGAAATTAATAGTTCCTCATAATATTATTTTTTACTTATATAGTTTCTCTAGTTTATTCGCACTACACACACAACCCTAACATATGCAGATGTTACCAATAACACTGCAAAGTGCAGAGTACTTCCTGGATGGTACTACATGTCTGCATACGCCACCTTGTATGCAGATGGTTAATGGCTTTGCTTTAAAAGAAAACAAAAAGAAACTTGTATCTCGATTAAATAAATTGTTAACACGCCCCCGGCGTTTTATCGTGAACTCATTTTTTTTTATCTCAATCGTTTCTATGCGAAAACGTTTCCTCGGTAATGAATATGCAATTTATAGATCGCCTAGATACTTTATAGTTCCTGTTGAAAAAAGACTACAGCAGATCTTATCGGTTCGGCCGAAGTGTTTCCTTTGCCACCCGCAGGAACATTGATAAAATCTAAGTTTAAAAAACCTATAGGCAAGGCAGTGTGATACGGCGATTAATCTATTTAAATTAGTATGAAACTCACCTTATATATTTGTTAGTACGAGTGATTGGCTGTTAACCAATACCCCAATATATTCGGTAACACGTTGAAGTCGCTGTGTCTTTTTGTTTCTTTTTATATTTTTCTTAAGCAAAGAGATCGAACATAAAACTGTTTAGTTCTTTTTTTTAATGAACAGATCGAATGTTTTGACATTTGACGATTTGTGACAATGTAACGCAGGGACTTTCACGCGGCCGTCGTGTTTGGAAGATAACAATACGCATTGAAACAGATGCCAACTCACTCGCTGAAGTGTCGACCAGCACTCTTCCAGTGTTCGCTCGCTGATGCTCTGCCCGGACCGCGCTTGTTGCTGCGTGAAACGAAACATCATTTTAAATAAATTTTGAAAATAGAAGTTATATTTGAAAATAGAACTTTTTGTAAATTGATTCTTATTTATTGATAGATAGGTACTTTATTGAGAAAAAATAATAAAAATGTTCTTTTTTTACAAAATCGGTAAGTAGCAGTTTACAAAAAGACTCAAGTCAGTAGTTAGTAAAGGAGAAGGAAATGTTAAAATTCATTCAACTCTTTGAGTAAATGCTTATAAAACGTTTGAATCGTTATTATTATTTTTCATATAATTAGTTTCTGTTATTTAGATTTTTCATCGTGCATTTACGTAGAACAGTGAACATTATCCCCCAATTAAAAATAAAATTCTAAATATAAAAACAAAAATGTCAGTACGAGTTAAATAAAGACATGCGAAAAGTAACTGAAAGCCCACAGGGGATAAGGCTCACTGTTGAGTGAAATGAGTACCGTTTGGGAAACTCATTCAGTTTTCAAAGGTACTTCATATTAATTGGACTACCTTATCTTCGGAGATATAAGAAAATTAAATACATTATTCGTATTGAGATAAGGTATATTTATGCTAGTAATTTTTAATGTCACCGATGGGAAATATGTGGATATCAGGTCTTTTAGTAATTTTACTTTAAAGCACAAATCATTGTTGTCAAACCAACATTGATACAAAATCACAAATTTCTAAGCTTTTCCAAACATTATATCACTCCAAAAGGTAAGTAGATGAGTGCTCGTTCCCAAATTATTATTCATAGAACGAGTTATTAAATTATTCAAAAGGACTTTTGTATCTAAAACTTTTATAAACATTCAAATGATTTTAAAGATTTACGAATGTATCAAATTCCTTTTTTGAACTTTTGATTTGTTCTCGAATTCCGAATTCGATTCAGATAATTTTTTGGACTTCGAACTGAAGGAGTTTCCCGCGCAACTACGTAGTTGGAAGAGAGGGAAAATAATATCAGTAATTACATCGATATTGAGGCTATTCAGGAAATTTACCAATGCGAATGGCAACATGGTGTTGCGATCGCCGACCGGCCCGTCCCCCGTCGGCGACTGTTGGGGCTGCGTGAACATAAAGAAAAAGATAAGTTTTTTAAAAGGTAGGCGCGCCTTGTAAGGCCCAAATTTTGGTAGTATTGGAGTAAATTATTGGCGATAATAGCAGAAAAATGTTTTCATTTCATATTAATTCGATACTTTTTTTTTATAAATAGATTAAGTTTTGCTAACACTACACTACTACTAACTGCACAAAATTAACGAAAAAACGTTGTATCAGGCTGATTACTAGAAATATCATAAGACAGGTTAAATTTTACATAGAAATACATATTTTTGTTTTGATAAAATGTAGAAATTACATTTGTTATTATGAGCCATGATAAGCACCTGTGTTCCTAAATAAGCCCACTGTTGTCTTAATCAAATATGTTGATTTGTATGATGAAGGTTAGGCACTTGTCCCACCGCCAACGATGAATGAGAAGCAAGTAGAGCTAGAAACTAGAAACGAGTAGGCGAGTTGCGGGAAGCGAGTGCGTAGTTCCGATAGTTTTATCTCTGGACTATAAGCGAGTGTTTGAGTACAACGGGCGATTACTCGCGCCACTCACTCGCGAAGAAAAATGCAGGCGCGCGCGTGCAGGAAGCATCGCTAAGCGAGTATTTCTTTGATAGCTCTTGTCACTCAGCGACACTAGTGGATAGAAATATTGTTTTAAACTTTCATGGTCATCAATATTATAGCTATTAACGGGATTGTTACCATATAGGTACCTTGTTTTTCATAAGTCTCCGATAGTTCGGCACTGTTACAAGCGCCATGATCACGAAGTAACTGATTACTCCGAAAACTGTGCCGAAATATCGAAGCCTCATACCCCCTTATTTACAAACTAGGAATAAACTTAGACTAGTTACGCCGTGTTTTGTTCACATTATTGAAATGCCATTTGTCATTCAATGAACAGCGACAAAACATGAAGTAACTAATTCCAGCTTATTCTTCATTTATTAATAAGGGAGATAAAAAACAAGGTACATATGGTAACAATCCCGTCAATAGCTATTATAGTGGAGAGAGTTCTTGCCGGCAGTGTGAACAGCCAGCGACCAACGATATATATATACAGCTCTTTTGTTGAGACGTTATGTATATCTATTGTACGTTTCTTGAGCGAGTAAATAGTCGATAATTAGTCGCTTCCTCGCCGGCGGTGAGACAACTGCCTTACTTCCCCTAGACAAAGTGATATAATTTGATACAAAAATCAACTTTTTATTTGAGCTCCTGTTCCAAATACGTAAGTTATTCGATCCGTCTCAGTATAAGGTACCTTAGTATATCAAACTAGGCACAAGAATTGAAAATGAGAATGAATAGAAATGATTAGAAAGAGTCAGGTTGTACTATAAATATTTTTACGTACCTACCTAATGTTTAGGTATTCTATTTTTATTTCAAGCATTGAACTGTTAGATTTTTAAATAATAAGAAAGTTTTACTAGAAAAATACCCCTCGCTCCAGGCACCAGACGGGATTCGAACCCGCTAAACCTTCCGCTGTACGGGGGATTAAAGTTTTACGCCATATTAGGAATTTATTTGTTGAGTCGTAATAAATCATTTAAGATTCGATATATATAAATTTCAGGTGTGACACAAGTAGAGTTACTAACGTTTTTTTCTATCAAATATAGTATTTTTGAACCTTTAATAATATTGTATGTGGTTAAAATATTTACTTCAATTCTGGAATGAATATATTTTTACTGCTCCATGCCTTAATAATTAATATTTTATTTTAAAAAAGCTTTTACTGCCTAAAATCCGCTTTCAGCAAAATATAGTAGTTATAGCCCTTACATAGTAGGATACTATGTTATATAGTAGGGTTGGCAACTCTATACAGCAGATACAGTGTAAGTTAAAATATTTTTTATTTTTTATAGTGTAGTGTTAGAAAGTTCATCAGTGTAATGACACTGTTAAGTAAGTACTGCAAAATAGTGCAAATCGTTGTGAACTCAAACTTATGGAGCGATTATATTTGGTCATTAGCCCGAATACAAGTGCCAATGGAATTCGGGTAAACCACTAAGTGTAAATGAGCGGAGTCGAGTACGCCCGTATTCGGGTAGTTTTCGTTTTGGTTACCGGAGACTGTCTTCCAGCCCATATTTGAGTGTTAATATTGCTTCGGGTGGTACCCGAAGCAATTCGAGAATTCGAGAACGAGCAGCATCAAACTTGTTGCTGCGTATGTCCTTTTTATGGCTCATAGTACTTTCATCCCAGACAACAATTTTAGTTTTTCTCAAAACTTCTGCAAATTTGCTCTGTTTTGAAATATTACACAATGGAGTTGTTAGGTCCACACTTGTTAGGTTCAGTGGCAACTTTAAGGCAAAGTGTTCGATCAATATCACGTGGGCTCGTTCAATGCTCAATTTAAGAATTCGAGTAATGTCTTTCATGCACCCGAATACGGGCTAACGACTAAGTGCAATTACGCCATTACCCTATACAAAAGCAAAGCAATGTTAATACAAGGTACTCATTTCAATTGTTTATATGCTATTTCGAACTGTGGTTTTTTAATTTGGTATTTATAAAGTTAGGAGAAGAAAATGCTCAGATAATTTAAAAGTTGGAGAAGTATTTTTTTCAGTTTCCTTCTAATGTCAACGTGTTGTCAATCATCTGTAAAGGTCCATGAAATTTCTTCCTCACAAGTACATGAGAAGCCCTCTCACTTATATTACTAAGATTTTAGAAGAAATATTTGAAAGCTGTATTGTGAGTTCTTAAATGTACCTACCTCAAATACCATGAGCACACTTGTGATATGAAAAAAAGTTTATATTGTATTATAATGATTATTTATTTTAATAAATAAATAAATGATTATCTACTTATTTATTAACTAGAAACTAGTATTCCAAATAAGTTTGTTATTTTATTTGTAGATATAACATGCGTTCCTATTTTCATACTTATTTTTAACTTAGACTCCAGTTGCTGTGGTATCTCAGTAAGCTTTTTATAACTGTATTGTATCCTGACAAAACCTGTCATTCAAAGTTATACCTAATATGTTTAATTTAATTAGTTTTTTTTACAATGTTAAGGAGTTATGTATTCAGTCGAGATTCAGCATATATTTTTCTTAGTTTCAACTTTGAACTAATAGGTACCTATTAAAACAAAAATGCGTTATTGGCTTTTAAGATAGAACGATATCATAGTTTCACAAGATTGATACTTTTTTTAGCCACGGAACTTATATTTTTCGTATTAAGTAAAAAATCCGAGAGCTGGCACAATTTTCTTCTCAAATAATAAATCACAGTTCAAGGTTTAGATTTTGCTAAGTAAATGCTAATTCACATACATTTTAGTAAGCGCAATTTTTTTTACTAAGCCCAAAGACATGCATTGAAGCTACAAACTAAATTTTAAGTGTCATACTAAATTTTTAGCAAAAAACTACCACACTTACTACGGTGGCGATAAACAATTATACACATCACATAAAATAAGTTGGCACGCATTTTTTTTTAAAAAGACAAAAACTCTATTAACTAAACGGAGATTTTAGTTACTATAAAATAACTTATGTAAGATATTAAATCTAGCAGTTAAATGCATAATAAAAAAATAAAGTCTAACAATTCCATTATCAAAAAAACGAACGAATAAGGAACTAGCAAAAAGTCCTAAATTAAAACCGCAAAAAAGTTTCATTACCAACAAAAAAAAGTAAAGCAAGCTTCACACGTGACGAAACATCGAGAGATTGAAAAAAAAGTGTATTTACATCGAAATTATTGAGTGAAGACAGTAAATTTACCAGAGCAAACGGTACGAGGGACCTCTCGCTCATCGTCGAGTCTGCTGATGGCGATTGCTGTTGTTGCTGCTCCATTCCAATGTACGATGCGGAGGCGTGAAAAAAAGAGACAGAGCTACTGTAATTTCTTTAGATTTTTGAATAGAAAAAGTTATTACAATAAATACAGAACCATTGCCATTACCATCCTAGGCCACATCATCGCTTTCCATCAGGTCAGATTGTGGTCAAACGCATTGCCTATTTTGCATAAAAAAAAATCAAACAGCTATTTTAACGTATGCCGTCTTTATAACAGTTTATTATCTAAAAAAATATTAGGTTGCTCTCTAAAAACGAAACATATTCATAATTCAGACAGTATGCACTTGAGATTGTTGAAACATTCATAAATCAAATTTTAATTAAGCGTTATCTTAAAAAAAAAACCTAACCACAAAAGGGCAACTACTTCAAAGCGACGAACCGTTAAATTATTATTAAACTGAAAAAAAAAATATGAATACGAAATATGAACGCGGCATCGAAACCGGTTTGCGACTAACAAACAAAATTTTATAAAACAAAAAAAAACGTCAAAACGAGAACAGATTCGCAGCAACAAATAACTGTCAACACCCCTTCCGTGAAACAAAGCGCAGGAAAAAAATTAAAAATAGAAATCACAATGTACCCCTAATCCGTCGTGCCGTGGGAAATAGACAAATGCAAGGTGAGCGAATCCGAAGCTAATTTAAAAAGTAATATTCTTTAGTCTTCTGTTTTTAATATTTTGAATTACGAACACAGACATTGCAGTCCCGTTATGCCCTTTTTTCTATCGTCTTAGTTATTAACAGCGAATGAATGCTTCCGATATATTTTTTATCATTATTTCGGTGCACTCTGTTCCGGTCAGTTGTTACTAAATTATATGGTAACGGAAAAAGAAAATAAATATTAACCCAAAAGTATACGTCGGTCAGAACGGTACCAATAAAATAATCATAAGCCATATGCTCAAAACAAACATTAGTAAGTATTATCGAGTGAAAGAAACGAAATCGAAAACGCTGCCGACAAGTTGATCACAGGCTAATACAGAAATAATAGAATTATCACAGATTATCGTAATTTACATATCCTTTGTGAAACCGGATGCGACATAAGGACAAAAACGATTTAATAATAAGTTTGACTCCAAGGCCTTTAACCCTTTCTTGGGTTAACAAAAGCTTTACAATATGTTGCCTTGGCTTCTTGTGTGTGTTTTTTTTTTGAGGAAGAAGGGATCATTCAAATTTCGAACGAGTTCTGAGACCCTAGCTTTATATGTGTTGAGGTCAGTTGATCAAGACTCATTGGAGACGACACACGTTGATTTTATTTTAACATTAGCCACTTCATGTGTAACGGAAACTTTAAAGTATTCACTTAATTAAAATATATCATCGCAAGGGACTCAAAGTGTGTGTAAATACAGTTTACGTTTAACAAAGACTTAATGTAGAAATTAAAATCACCAAAATAAACATCGGCATTGAATCGGTAAGTTATTTGTTTTGTACGAAAGTAGCCGTCGGCTGAATTGCAACTAAATTCTTTAAGTTCCAATGAAAGTTCTCAAATGTAAATTTAAAACACCTACTATCATAAAATTTTATTTAAATTTCTTTCATTATGTTTATACTGCCTAAAATATTAATGAAACGGAAAACAGATCCTAGCGATTAAAAAAAATTAAAAATGGAAAACTCACCTGAATTTCATTGACGAGTTTCTCGGTCATAATTTTGTGGTCAGGCGTTGCAGGTGGCTGTGGCGTGGATGGCGCCGGGCCCGGTTGAGAATGCGCCTCCATGGGCTCCTGGGCCGGCGAGCTCGGTCTACTGCGGGACCAGAAGTCCTGCATCTTGAAGCGCTGTGCCTCCGCCGCCTGCTGCAGCGCTGCAGGGATTTGAAGCGATAGCGGCGCCGCTCGTAGGTCCAAAGCGCTCGCTGCCGCTGCAGACTCGTTCCCTTCCGCTGCCGTCATCTTGAACGAGTTCTGCAGCCAGCTCGCCACGAAGCTGTCTTCCTCCTTGGGCGGTTCCAGCAGCCTCGGGAACGGCGGCGCGGCGCTCGGTTCGAACGCGCCTTCGCCGCCGATCTGCTCCCCTTCCTCAGCTATTTTCGGAACTTTAGCCTCCCTCGGTGACCCTTCCTCTACCGCTTCCGTCTTCCGATACTCATGGAGGTCCCTATACCTCTCCTGCAGCGCTAGGGATATGTTCTCATTGAAGTATTTCAACATTAATTCCAGCTTCGGGCGTATCGTCACAACCGATTCATGCGATCTCTCGCGTCTGTGTTATTATCGCACTCCCGGGTTCGGCGCCGCGAATCTGGAATGCAAGATGCGGTTTTTTAATCGCGCACAAAAAAATTTTTTTTGAACTTTCGCTAAAGTAGCCGACTTTACGCGGTAAGGGGTAGTCGTGAAAAGTCACCCCGGAAAATTCGTGGAAGCGGGAAAGCGGAAGCGGACCTCCTTGAGACGCGGGCGGGCGACGACTAACTTCTTGGTGGAAAACTTAGCGTCGCGACGCTTTCTTGCGGGGTGGGGCGGACGCGCGCGCCGGGCGAAGACGCCGCACCAACTAGCAAGACGCGGCGCCGCCCCCGCTGCCTTAGACGTCCTCAAGAACATCCCCACCGGTGCGGGGCGCACGCGCCCGGCGTTTTTTCCGCGGAAAAATGTGTCCGGTCAAGGAAAAGACGGCGCGTCCGGCGGCCGGCGGCGGCCGAGTGCGCCCCCGCTACCCCTCGTCCCTCGCTCCGGGCCTGGACACTCGGACATTTCCCAAAAACGCGTGACGGCCCGTTCGGACCGCGGCCGCAATAACAACTATTAAAAAGGGCGCGAAGGACGCGCGGGGTGCTCGCCCCTCTCGCTCGCTCGACCTCTTTCGCGGCTCACCCCTCCGCGCCAGAAAGGGACGGCTAGCGCTTCCCATTTTTTTCTAATCGAGGGAGGAAATGGAAAAGAATGGGTTTCTTTGTGATTTTTTTCTTAGTGGCGTTTGTCTCGCTCGCACCTACAGCCGTTTGTATAGCGTCGTTTCGCGTGCATTTTTAAGGGATTTCTTTTCGTAACGCCTCTTTTATTATTGTTCGTTTTTTTTGTTCAGGCGGGGCTTAGCTTATGGGGTATTAGCCAACGGAGTTTACTGTGGTTTTACCGTTTTCACTTACCTAAACTTCACAATCTCTTACCAAGAAAATCTTTTATAAAGTTAACTCCTTGATAAAGTTTCTTTATATTGAATACTTGGCTGTTGTCGCATGCAAAATCACTTTAAATGTGTATTAATTGTAGAAAATACTACTACTACTCTTTGAAAAGTATGGGTGAATTTTATGTCTTTATAGAAACTTTGTAAAAGTCGCAGGTTCTTGACTGAGCATCTATTAATACCGTCTACGTGTCACTGAGAAAAGGAGGCTACACTACCCCGCAACAGATGGCGCTATACGCTACGAATCTCGTAGCTTGCAATACTAAATCACTGGCCACAAGATTGTTTTACAATTATTTTCAAAGTCTTTAATGTAAAAAGGTTATCTTAAGTACAGTTTTGTAATTATTCATGGCATAAGTATTTTTCTTCGTTGTTTTGTTGTCCATATTCGTATTTAGTTTTCCGTCTCACAAGACTGAATGTTTTACATTTAGCGTGGCCAACGATTCGCAAAGAATACCTAGGCGGTAACACAATGAGTGACGCATTTATCTAGAAATCATTAGGTGTACAAGACAATTACAGTATAATGATGCAACACAGGCGTGGTTTAACCGTATGGGAGTGACTACCATTCTTTGGTCTCGGTTCGTGAACACGCGCGTACCAATGGTGAGTTTCCACAACTAACCGTCTTCTTTGGAAAAATAATTCGTTATTCGAACTACTTTGCTTTAAAAAGAGTAAATCGCGAAATTTAAAAAGAGAAGTCTTCATTTGTTTAAGTTTCAATAATGTATTTGTGTTCGATTTGAGTTTCAACTACTTTTAAATTTCGAACTCAAAAGAAACTGTGTGTACGTAAAATAAATAGATTGGTAGATATAGATAAAGCAGGTAAAATATTTATTCACAAAATAAGTTCCTCGGAAATTAATGAAATTATTTTATGTTATAAGAGTACCTTTTGGCTACTAGTAAAACGTTTGTGTTTTTTTTCGAAAATAAAGTATTGTTTAAAATGAGATGCCCGGAAAATGATTCCAAAGATCAACAGTAGCGCCACCGCTAGGGGACTTATTTCGTGGAGAGAACTATGTAACTTTCGGTTTTTGTTTTTAGCTTCTTCTCGACAAGAATACTGCAAGATTTGAACCATGGTTCGTGTCGAAGTAGGAAAGGTTCATTCTTTAGAATATCTATATGGACAATAACCAATCAAAAATTGTGCTGTGAAAATTTATATTCTTAAAAGTAAACCTAGTTCTGCTTTCTGTCATTAGAATACTAAACTTGATTCCTTTGTTAGGTTAATGTTTTTTTGCTATACACTGTTTGTTCTATGTTACTTATCTTAATGTAAGTGCCTTATTACAAAGGTTTCTTATAACAAGCTCTATTTATTTATATTAACAACAAAAACTATCTACTGTTTTAAATTTTCTTACAACGAATAATTGATCTAATAAGAAAACAAACAAAACATAAGATACTGTACTGTTTTTTAAGCTTTAATATATAAATTTATTATCTATTTCCTTCCCTCAGTACAACTATTAAAATATATGTTTTATTAATAAGAAATAATAATACTTATTTGTCTTAAACCACAATTCGAATATTTAATAATAAAGTTAAGAATATAAAATGTTTATAAAACTGTTGCAAATTTACATCTACACGAACCTAAAGTAAGACATTGATAAGAACCAAAGTCTCAATGTAAAATATGGTTCATTTAGAAGTAGGGGTTGTAAGCAAACGCGGCTTGTGGCAGTCGAGTTGCAAAATAGGTTCTTGTAGATGTAAAAATGGTTCTATTTCGTAACAACATAACGAGAACCTATTAGATATATGAGAACCATTATTTAGGGTTCCTTCAAAATTTTTATGAATTAAAACAGAAACTGTTCACTTAATTACTTCAATTGTTATGGATATTATTTTTTTATAATAGGTATGTTTTTGTGTTAGTTGTTTTTATATTATAAATATATTAACTTATATGTTTATAAGGAAAGTTAAATTACATGTTCTTTTTTTATTCTTTCAGTTTGATTGATCGCAGATAAATGAATGTTTAATAAACTCATACCCAATTAGTGACATTTCTTTGGTAAAATCAGCAGTATTCATTTTTTTCGCCCGCTTTGTTTTATCACTTAACATTGTATTGAAGCCTATTTCATCTTTGATTTTTTTTGATGTTTACTTATGTTATTCTAGCTGAGTATATTTTTGCTGGCCTTTGACTGTTTAAAAAATATTCCTGTATAAATATAAAATAACAAAAACATATTTATTTATGTATAAAGGTTATACATAAATAAATATGTTTTTGTTATTTTATATTTATACAGGAATATTTTTTGTTTCCTATTTAAACAATAATTCTTAACGTCCTAATGCATGCAAAGTACTTATTTTACTAAAATAAGTGTATTGAACGGATTTCATATCTAATAAGTTTGTTGTTATTTGAGAATTATTATAGAAAAGAAGTTTATTTTATTCATATTGTTTTATTTATTTATTTTCACTGTAAAATATGTCGTTCTTCCTTATCTTCAAATAAATTTTATAGCAATCGATGGGGATCTAAACTAATTAATACCATCTCATCATAATAATAAAGACATACTATTATCATAGCTAACCATTGTCTAAAGAAATTAATGAGCCATAAGATGCGATTTTAAACTGTTAAGCATAGGTAGGTATGTAGCAACACTGTTAAATATCATAGAATAAGCGAATCCCTAAGAGTTTGACTGTGTGCATGATTTTTTATACAGGGTGTAAAAAAACCTTTAACAAAGTCGAAGGCCACGTATTTTCCCCATCATGATGATATTTTTTTTCTTCTTGACCATACCTGGGAAATTTATGGTTATGGAGAAATTGAAGGTCAAAATCACATTTTTTTTTTTAAGTTTTATACATTAATATTTTCAAAATGTTAGTTAGAAACTTTTTTATTGACGCACTTACACACACATGTGTGTACATACACACAGGCACATTCTTTGCGTAGCGCCACAGTAGCGCGCCGCACTATTATGACAGTGAAATTTTAAGATGCGCGCGCATCACTGTAACACAAAAGTAACATAATGAAGTTGCCGCGGGCGCGTTATGAAAAAATGATGTGAGTGAAATTTCGAGATGCGCGCGCATCACTGTAACACAATAGTAACACCATGAAGTTGGCCGCGGGCGCGTTATGAATGTTAGTGTCTAATAATGGTGGATTATTAACCACTTAGTGGTTAATAATCCACCATTATTAGACATCTGTTCGAAAGGTACTTTGAACGATCCACGGAGCTCCATAAGATGATCGCGTTGTCAAAAACAATGTTGGCACGCTCGTCGCCTCTGATCACTGTTTTCATATTTATAATATTTATCCACATGTTTCTAGTTTCTATAAAGACACAACGTGTTTTAGTTACTTACAAGTGCTAATTACATATGGACTAATAACTTAAATTCAGTAGTAATTTTAATTGAATATTTTGAATATTTATTTAATTTTTCAAATTAAAACTGAACTTAATTGACTGTGTTAACTATCCTTTTCTAGTCTTTTTATTATTTTATTGAAATTATTAATTATTTGCATGCAATTAAAAAATATTTTTAATGATGCTAAAGAAGTATAACTTCTCACGCGCGTACATAAGTTACACGCATCCATTTTTTTTCTTCGTTTATCAGGTAGATTATCAAAAAGTATTGGACACGTATTTTTTCTTTTTTCACATAATATAAACATTGCAGAGATATATTGATTTGAAAAGTCGCATGACGTCACGTTTGAGTACACTTTAAGTGAAAATTCACTAAAAGGTGACGTCACGAGCCCCTGCTCCCAAATTTTGACGCGCTCTAACTTTGTCATTTTTTGGTTGATTGCCCAAAGAAAAAATACGTGTCCATTATTTTTTGATCATCTAACTGACGGACTAAATAGAATTTCGTTTACTGTACCCCGTCATCACCCCTATTGCAGCTGGAATATATGATTGTCTGACTTTAAAACATATTGTTTGTGATAGATCACGGTTGATTTTAGGTGGGTAATCACACTTATATAATAAAGGCGAAAGTTTGTGAGTGTGTGTGTTACTTCTTTACGTCTAAACGGCTGAAGCGATTTTAATAAAATTTGGTATGGACTTAGCTGACACCCTGAATTAACACATAGGTTACGTTTTACTGCGGGAAAATATCCCTATCCCTAAGCCGCGGGTAACACCGCAGGGCACAGATAGTATTAAATATTTTTTATGTAGATAGTTTTCATTTTACCAATCTATTTTATAATTCAATTCAAATTAATAATAATTATTTTTATCGGATAATTGATGAAATACTTATATGAATTTTGATAGCAGCTATTAATACGACGTTAATTTAAGTAATTATATTATTGTTAATTGAGTTGAGAAGCTCGATGGCGCAA